CTATATGAGATCCAATGAGGGACAGGCCAAGACCTGTCTCAGCTGAAAGGAGGTTTGCAGGCACCATCAATCAGCTGATCGGTGGTGCCAGCAAAGCCCTGAGCATTGGGCTACATGAGACCAAATGGTCAGCTGATTGGTGGGGCTTGCAGAGGCTGTGCAATAGCACTTTTGAAGTCAAACCCTTACCTGGGAATAAGTCTCACTGATCTCCATCAGTGGATTGTAGCATTATTGTTGTAGATGTGCATGTTTTAACTTTCTAATCTTTTTAGGACAAATATTTTTTATAAAAATTTGTTTTTATTACATCTATCTCCGGTTGCAGACTTTGGTAATGAAATTACAATGTATTTCTTTCCTGATATCACAACAGTTTAATGAAAATAGATCATTAGATTCAGTGACTTCAATAAAAACAGGAGTGTGGGCCATGAGAAATGCAATTTGCACAACATGTAATTTGATGAATGTGTCACATAGTGTCATTAGTACTTACAGCAGTTGCTTGCTTTAGGGTAAGATATTCTTAATGCATACTCAGCTTGAAAATTTGCTTTAAAAATACAAATTAAAGGATAAAGCAGTCAATACAGAAATGCTTATTTTGTTATAGCTCAAATGTCTTCTTTGTTTGTGTGACACTAAATTATATTTTGACTCTTTAAATGTTTTTTGTAAATTTTCCCACTCCAGCCATGAAGTCCTTTTCTGTACTGCAGAAAAGTGCATTAACTAGGGAGAAACATTGGTGGTCTTCACTAACTGTATTTCATAAATATACTTGCACTGGAAAGAAAAGAAATGTTTACAAAATCTGACAGCTTCATCATCATAACTGTGTATCTGACTGTATTATATTCTCACTTGACCTTAGTAGAGCCCATGTTAAACTACGGCCACCAAAGCTTTCTGAGCAATTCCCCAAGTAGTAGAGATGGACAAATATGTCAATTTCAGCTTCTCATTCTCCCTGTCCTAAGTACAGTTGGCTATATTTCAGCATTCATTTTAAATAAAATTAATACATTTTAATACTTCCCTAAAAAATCCATCAGTATTTTAGTGAACCTTTCTCCCAATATGCACATATTTGCAGGCAATTTTGCATCATTGCATAATATAATGCAGCTTTGTATGTTATTTTTATTATTTATGCATTTTCATGAACACTATGCCTAATACGTGCATTTTGTACAGTTTTTCGGTGGAAAACCGACAACACAAAATTAAGAGAAGTTGGGCTTCAATTTGCACACATATTTTGCAGGAAGTTCAGTTGCCAAACCAAATTTCTCCCGTATCCCTACTGAGTGAACTTTACCACTGTCTGTACCAGCCTGCCAGGGAAATGGTACTATGTGAGGGTGTTTCAGCCTTAGGAGAAGCCCTCACTTCATTTGGAGGCAGGTATTAGGCATTATTACAATCTGGTAATTGAACTACTAATCTTGTAAATTAATTGTCAAGGTAGCTAGCATGAATATAGCTTAGCCATGGAGTCTTAGTACATAAATAATCCAGCTGCAGGATACTTTATTTTCATGGATTTTGGAACTGTTATTATATACTAGAGATATTGGATCCCCTCTCCACCCCTACGCCACACTCTACTCAAGTTGCTGGTTGATTAGGAGGGGATTTATAGTTATGCAGAGGGAAGAAAGAAAGAAAGAAAGAAAGAAAGAAAGAAAGAAAGAAAGAAGTTACCGAGGAGTAATCCCCCCCCCAAACACAGCAAGACCTGCTGTGCATTAGTTTGCACTTTCAATTTATCATTGTGATATATGTGAATAAGATATGTTTAACAGTGTTTGGATTTAAAATAGGGACTGTAGGAAGAGAACTTGCAATGGCAGGACCAATCCCTGACCTTGGTGTGTTCTGCAGAAGGTCAAAACAGATCAGAGTCCCTGATCATGTGAAAAGAAAAGAAGGCTGTGCACATTCAAGTTGTTAATGTGGAGACTTTCTTTGGACCTTCCACCAAGGACATGGAGGTCAGCAGGACAGGGATGGGGATTTGTCACCATAAACTTCTCCCTTCCACTCATTCACTGTACCCTGTTCATTCCCTGAAAGGAACTAAAAGAGAAATAAGAGCAAGAAGTGGAAGTGGAACCCATTCAGAATAGTTAGCTGAACACAGGGGAGTTAATTTTTATTTTATGACTGGAAGCACAGCCCACTGATTTGCGGATACCTGGTTTGATGGCTGTTCCACTTATAGCTACCTATATTACTTTCAATAATGCATTCCTTCATGCCTCACCTTCCTATATGACAAATGCAGATAATAATAGTTACCCAGACACGTTTCTGTCGCTGTGACATTAACTTCATTAAGAACATTTGTAGAGTCACCTTCTCTATTTTGTTAGCAAAATATAGAAAGATGTTGACTCATTTGGTAGAATACGTGCAGCGGACTGCAGTGGATAGGTAAAATTAACTGCTCCTCTAGATATAACTATTCCCATAATTCAAGGGAGATGGTTCTTCCGATTTATTCTCTCATGATGGCTCACAGAGTAAGAATCATGTTAAACCAAATTCAAAATGCAAATTCACAAAAGCAATAGTATCAAACAATTCAGTCTGTTGCTATCACTCAGTAGTATTAAAATGCAATATGTCATATTTCTTTGGATGTCATGATTCGGCACCCATCCTTCCCTCTGTTCTGAATGGAGGAGAGGTACAAAGAGCTTATTTCTGTGAGTTGGCTTAGTGGTGGCTGACGTAGATCCTTTTTTCTTCATTGGTGGGAGTGACTGATACAGGGGGGCATGCCACACCATTTTGTGCTCCTATCTCTCTTCTGCTCTTTCAATTGTGTCAGCCACTTTGCATTATGCCCATATAGCAGCCATTTCATGAGAAAGACTCTCATTCCACTAATAAATGCTTCATCTCAGTGGAAGAATACCTATTGGGTCCTACCCAGGATTTACTGGATTTTATTCCATTATTCCATTTCAATATTATGTGTGGAATTCAACAAAGTTTCACTCAGAGCAGATCCACTGAAATTAATGAACATGACTAAGTTAAGGTCATTCATTTCATGGTTAAAACCTAGTTGACTAACACCCTGTATTTTGACTACATGTATACACATACTGGTATGTGATTTATTATCAGAATACTCCCGACAAAAGACCACAAGATGCAAAGAATCCACATACTCTCCAGGAAATAAATATATCTTACTGTTCATAATGTGACATTGGTGAACATTTTATTGCAAGAAATGAAAATGACCAAACTAAAGCAACATTTGTGACAGAAAGCTTCAAATGATGTTTTTTCTCCTGTCAAAGGTTTCCTACTCTAATACATTAACCTTCTTACCACACTATATTTGCATGCAGCTTTAAATATGGGATTGAATGCCTGGACCCTCTAAGTATGTCAGGAGCATCCAAAATGAGGACATGGTCATGCTTTTTTCAGCATGCGCTATAAATATCTTTACAATTTTCTAGAGAAGTGACCCACAAACTCACGTGGCAATCCTCTGCATATTTAGTCAGAAGTTCAGTCTCATTATGTTCAGTGGAGTTTACCTCCCGGTCAAGCATGCATAGGATTGCAGCCTTGTGTGTGTTTTCGGGTTTTTTTTTAAACTGCAGCCTGTTTACCTTTTCAGCTATAATGCTCTCCCTGGTCAATGCAGTCATTAATCAATTCAGCTAACTGGAGGGAGGACGCAAAGTTGGGTCAAATAACCCATCATTGCAGACTCATTAACTACTCAAACGATCAGGTGAAACTCTAGTCGATTGTTGGGCTATACGAATTAGGAAAATAATGTGTACTATCACACAAACATCTTGAGGATCTCAGCAGTAGGAGCTTGGCCACAAAATGGAAGCTAAATATACATTCAAAGGAGAACCATGTGCAGATTTGATACACTCTACATACATGAAAACAGAAGATGAGGCAGAATGAAAGCAATCATAGAACTGGAGAGTTGGAAGGGACCAGGAGGGTTATCTAGTCCAACCCCCTGCAATGCAGGAATATTTTGCCCAACGTGGGGCTCAAACCCACAATCCTGCTGACCCTGTGGCTCTTGCCACTTGAGGCAGTTGCCTCAACTGAGTTTGCTTTTTTCTCCCCTCCTCCCTCCAAATACTTTTTCCTTTTATTTCAGGCATAGGCAAACTCTGCCCTCCAGATTTTTGGGGACTACAGCTCCCATCATTCATAGCTAACAGGACCAGTGGTCAGTGATGATGGGAGTTGTAGTTCCAAAACATCTGGAGGGCCGAGTTTGCCTATGCCTGTTTTATTTCATGTCTTCCCACTGTAAGCCTGAAGGCAACGTTATTGGCATTAGTGAGCCACTCAGGGAGCATTTTTTGGCAGGATAAAAATGTATATAATTAATGCCTTTCAAGCACATAGCTATATTTCACACATACCAAATATTCTGATACAGTTCTCTGCTTAAAAACAACAACCAAACACATTCAAATACATTGAAAATGCATATGCAGTTTAAGCTATGGAATAAATATGGAAACAGGATTGGCTGGACTTACGGGTGAAAACATACAAATGCTATATGGACCAGAAACCGACCAGTCTGTGCAGATCCCTAGGAAAATTGAATGAGGGATGAAATATCTCCCGTTAGCTATTTTATAAAAGTTGCAGTATTAGGGAGTGACACAGACCAGTTCAGTCCATAAAGCAATGCAGTCGGAGTCCTTGTATTTGTCAGTTCAGTGCTCATACTGCAGTCTGCAGAACTACTCATTTCAGGGCATAGTTACAGCACCAAACTGAGCCAATTCCAGACCCTCTGGCTCCTCAGATTTGTAAAGTGCCACCTGAAACAGTTCCAAATTATGACAACAGAACACTTGTTCCCTGTGTGTTTTCTTTGACCACAGACAGTACTTGAGTTGTACAGAGAGCTAAGAAGTGACTACCCTTTGCACTTGGTGATATCCATTTCAAGTTTATATGCAGGGTCCTTTGAGCCTGCGCTAAGCTGAAGTGTCCATTTTCTCTCTCTCTCTCTCTCTCTCTCTCTCTCTCTCTCACACACACACACACACACACAGAGAGAGAGAGAGAGAGAGAGAGAGAAAGGAAAGATGTGCACTCTGTACAGTTCTTCTGAGGCTTCAAGTACATCCCTAGCAGGCTAAATTCGTCAGGACTAAATTGTCTCTGGAAAGCATATTATATATATATATATAAATATATATTCTAGGCTAAAGCGAGCTTTTACTGTGTACGAAGGCACAATTAATATTGATCAATTTATTTGTTTAAGTAATGGACAGGGACAGTGTGCATGAGTGCATTAATAGCAAATATGATCTTTCAATTAGATGGCACTGCTTAGACCACTACTGAGGGTTCTGAAATGAGATTAATGGTCCCTTAGGAGGATGGTGTTAGCTTAATGTGAATGGATTGTTTCCTTCAAGGAACACTCTCTTTTAATATTGCACAGAACTTCATAAAATTGATTCACTAAATATAACAGTGGAACTGAAGCTCATAGCACTGATTTTGTTCCTATCTGACTTAAAAACAAAAACAAAAAACTGTTAGCAAAGAGACAGAAAGGAAACCAATAACTACAAGAAATACAAATTGTGTTCCAGGTGGAATACAGCTCTTACTGATATGAGATTTCCCACTAACCTTCCTGGAATGGAAGCAAAACCAAGAAGGCCTTTTCATGCACAGATGTATATTTGTCCACGTTAGAAACTAGGCTGAAAGCTTGAATTTGTTTCTTTTGTTGAGGAGTCACTGGCACCCTGATGCATTACTGGGTTAAGGGGCACTCTTGAGTCACCACCTGCAGTCTGAGGCTTAGAGGTATTTGTGGATATCTATAGAGCCTGGTATCTGCACATTACTAAGGCTCACTTAGTATGAAGGGAGCATACTATATTTAAATAAATACAAACTTTTTGCTTCAATATTGTGTGCTGGCAATGCATATATATATTATAGATTCAGGTGGATAGCCGTGTTGATCTGTCATAGTCATAATCAATAACAAGAGGAAAGATGAAAAAATCTTTTTAAATAATCCCAGTGGCACCTTTAAGATCAACTAAATATAAGCTTTCAAGGTATGAGCTTTCGTGTGTAATGCACACTTCGTCAGATACTTTTTTTTCATCTTTCATCTTGTTATTTATTGAGATTATTATATTATGTGATGCTGCTGGCACTGTGGTCTAAACTGAGCCTCTTGGGCTTGCTGATCAGAAGGTCAGCAGTTTAAATCTGTGCCACAGGGCGAGTTCCCATTGCTCTGTCCCAGTTTCTGCCAACCTAGCAGTTTGAAAGCCCACCAGAACAAGTAAATAAATAAATACCGCTGCAGCGGGAAGGTAAACGGCTTTTCAGTGCGCTCTGGTTTCTGTCATGGTGTTCCATCGCACCAGAAGCAGTTTAGTCATCCTGGCAACATGACCCTGAAAGCTATCTGTGGACAAACGCCAGCTCCCTCGGCCTGAAAGCGAGATGTGAGCTGCAACCCCACAGTCGCCTTTGACTGGACTTAACTATCCAGGCGTCCTTTACCTTTACCTTTTACCATTTTACAGGGATGTGGGGAACCACAAGAAGTGCCCAATCAGAGGATCTGAGGTAGTTCACAAAGGATCAAAAGGTCCTTAATGTGCTTTGAACTCAGGTTGTTTAGGGCTTTCTGAATTAGCAGAAGGACCTTGAAGCTAGACCAGTAGCAAACTGGTAGTGAGAGCAAAAAAAATGTCTTTTTGCTGCATTGGCCCATTTCCCTAGTCATTGCCCTATCCCTACATGTGCTTCAGATAAAGACAGTAGAATTTAAAGGAAAGTTTTGTCAACAATGCCCTTTTTTATACAGTAAGACACTACAGCATCAGAAGTGTGAATCCATTTCAAGACAATTAATCTACAAAATTCAAATCGAATTAATTATGCAATGTATTTATCTACACTAAGCTCCACTCAGGATCCAATCCGTCTGTGTGACCCACAATTGTGTGCTTCATCCCAAGCTCAGTAATGAGGTAACGCTCATTGCTCTGAGTCACTAATCTTTTGTCGTTATTACAGATCCTGTTACATGTGTGCTCTGAGGGTGACACAAGCAGGCAAAAGGAAAGAGATTTAGCTCCCTGACATGCAGTCCGTCCAGCACAAAGAAGCAACCCCAATTTAGGACTAGATTGTTCCATTTACTGCTGACCCTGAGGCAAAGGCAAAATGAAGCACTGCATCTCCAGAAGCCTATTAGAAAAGTTGTGATACTGAGTTACCAAAAATTCTCTGTGAAACCCCTTTTATATTGCAGTTCTGATGACAGAGCAGGCACAGCCAAGAATTTACCTCACATTAATCCTGCTCATCCATCCTCCAGCTAGCTGTATTCAAGAGACTAGAAGAGTTACACAGGTTATATTTGGTTTGATTTTGGTGTTTTGCAGTGAGAATCTAAAGCTATAATTCCACACATGCTTACTTGGGGAGTAAGCCCCATAGAATTCACCAAGACTTGTTTCTGAGCAGACGTGCATAGGATTCTGCTGTAAGCAATTATATAGAGTTCTCTCTTGCCAGATGGTTTCCTTCCAAAATGAAGGTGGAATAATAAATGTTTAAATGTTCTCTAATATAAAACATTCTCCATTTATACAAAATTACAATGTCAAAGGGTCAGGGGGGCAATAGTTCCACCTAGCAAGTAGAAATGTTTGCTCCGTATTTAATTAACATTTTGCTGCCCTTTCATGTCCCCTCACATCTGCTACCCACGTTGGCCACCTTGCCTAATGGCAGGACTGGCCCTGCAGAGCTAAGGCAGAGCCTTCCACCTAACATGCTATTTTTGTTGATTATATATATGGCAGCATCTAAGCCACAGAAGGGTAACCTTCCAGATGTTGTGGGACAACACCTCCCATCATCACTGACCACTGGCCTTCCTGGCCAGGGCTAATGGGGACTGGAGTCCAACATCTAGAAGGCCACCACTTTCCCACGCCTGATTTCATGCTTTGATCCCACACTGGTAGTCTAAAATGGTACAGCTTGTCAACATAAATATCCCATGAAACCGATCATTTCAGCTACACAGTAAGCATAGTATTGCCCTTTCCCCACTTCAGCGTCAAGTAGGAGCAAATGATCAATTAAAGTAGAGTAGCTTCGCCTACCTGAAGTTGTCGGCACGACTTCAGTTGTATTTCTGAGCCCAATAAATGAAAACTGATACAGCCTCCAGGATCTAGTGTCTCCTACTTCTACTGAGCTGCGCTTCCACATGTAGATAATCTCTTCCTTTGGGTAGCCATCTTCAAAACAATGAAGATCATCATTCCATCACAATTTTCATTTACGTGTTGCTTTCCTTTAGTCACATGACCATGAATGGCACTTGCCACAAATGCATTCACATCATTTTTCCTCTCACCGCCACACACACGCACACACACACACACACAACAAAGTGGTCATGATTCTTATATTCAGAAAGGGACCTTGCAGTTCCAAACAAATACAGAAAGGCATGCTTACGTTATGTCTCCTTTTGCTCCCCCAAATAATGAATTGTCACAATTATTTTGTTTCTATTTATGACAGCCTCTAAACTGCCATGAATAAATTCTGTCATGCTTCTCTGCACTTATAATGACTTAAATGTGATGGGTTGTATGTAGATCACTTAAAACAGTAAGGTCTTTACTGACGCCCCATTTCTCCACCTACCAGCATTAAATTCCCCATTGTTGTATACAGTACATTCGGTACATAGGAAAACACATAGGTTGCTTTCAGGCAATCTGTTTCTTGAATATTCATCCTGATTTGTTTGTGGGGATGTTAAGACAACATTACATCAAGCAAATGTTATCCTACATTTTCCAGTGCATTTTGCCATCTCTTTTCTTACCTCCTTGTGCAAGAGTTCCAAATCAATCTTAATTTTGCAACCTGAATAAGCCAACATGTGATTTAATCCCGCCTGAAAATAATGGTTGCCTGGAAGCTTATGTTTGTATTACTTTGGGGGGGGGGAGCTAATGTGGTGTAGTGGATGTAATATTGACTTTTGGACCTTCTCATGTTTAAGGAGCAGGCATGAAACACAGGACAACAGAAGTCTTGTCTGACCTGTATGCTAAAAATGCCCACGTAACATAAGGATTATTTACAATCACCCTCTCAAAATATGTAAGATGGCAACTTTGGGCTAGTTCTTCAGCTACTGTAAATAGTTACAAGTGATCCATATTAAGTATCTGTCCATAAATGTGTTGTCTCCAGCACCAACACACTTAGGATGCAATTCTGTACACATTGATTCAGCAGCAAGCCTATTGAGTTCCATGAGACTTCATCCCAGGGAAATGTGTTTTAGACTGCAACCTTCTTTGGACTAAGTACAGTACATTTACTGAGCAATGCATTTTTAAAAATTTAGATTCCTATCTAGATTCCTCTTTTCTTTCCAAATGAATTAATTTATTTTTTTTAGATTACTACTTACAGCTTGAAAATGCCAGTGGACAAGAATGTTCATCCATTGGAAAGTTGTGCAGCTGTAACTGACACTCAGCATCTATCGTCAATCTAAGAAGAAACACATATTAATATTAATCAATTGTTCATAGCTCTAGAAGTTCAAGGTCTACAGCAGTGAACAGGTTGAGAGAAGACACAATCCACTCTTTCTTTTAATGTATTATTGATTAGGATGTAAAGTAAAATGCTTTCTTATGTCACAGTGTTGCATGGCAAGGTCCTGAACCCTCCCCCATTGTAGAATAAAGACATTTGACACCAGAATTTAGGTTAATGGGCTGAAAAAGGCAACAACGTTATCGATTACAGAATGTGAGTGGTATTGGCTTAGGCATTGGAACCAATGACTATATCTGACTCCTGCCCCCCTGCCAGGAGTCCAGTAAGGGTTAACCACTGATAGAGGGAGCCCCGTTGATGCACATCAACTAGGAATTCCCCCAGGGTCACCGACAGGGGTCATGCTATGGCCCTGCCCCCCATCTGGGCTTCAGAAAGAGGATACACATCCCGGATTCCTTTAACGGAATATCCTTGAAATAGGAGGGTTAGGTGATGAACGCCCTGTGACGCAGAGCTACCTAAGCCCCGTGTGCACAGGTTGGGCTCATGACCTGCCCTCAATGTTGACTCCCTGTGAGTGGAATCGGCTTTAAGGATCGACAATAACTTTTCCTACCCATTTCTGAGGTCTTCCCAATGGAGGGAGGTTTCTAAAGCAGGCTGTGTTTTGAATGATCTTGCCCCCTTTCATAAAGCCTTCAAGAGTGGTCATACCAGCTAAACTGACTTGATTATCTCCTGGAGCCATCTTGGAAAATGTAGTTCTCAGAGCAGGCTTCAACAGAACTGTAAACTCTCTCAGTGGAAGCCACTATAGTTAAACTGGTTCAAAACTATTCTCATTTGGGGTGCAAGGCCCCAGTTCAAAACTGTGCTGTGCAGGGAGTTATGTGTAGGCACTTCCACAGCCACTGCAAGCACATTCTGGGATTGAGAGATTATGGTCTCAATCCTAAACCCCAAACTGCACATGTGGGGGGAAAGGGGCAGAGCTGTTCACTTGGTTCTTCCATGCTCTATAATAGAAGTTTAGCTGCTGTTGAAGCCCCCACCAACCCACAAATATACATTATACACACTGAAGGTACAGCCTGTTTGAGAACGACTTGTGATAACAGGCGCAAAATCCTTCAATGGGGCATTTCGGGGGCAGACGTGTAGCATATCTGGGCAAGGATTTGCTGGATCCTAACCCAGGCCATTTCCAGGTTGGTGGGTGTCTTAATTTGGGTCCCACTCCTATGCTTAAACTGAAGAAGAAGAAGAGTTTGGATTTGATATTCCGCCTTTCACTCCCTTTAAGGAGTCTCAAAGCGGCTAACATTCTCCTTTCCCTTCCTCCCCCACAACAAACACTCTGTGAGGTGAGTGGGGCTGAGAGACTTCAGAGAAGTGTGACTGGCCCAAGGTCACCCAGCAGCTGCATGTGGAGGAGCGGAGACACAAACCCGGTTCCCCAGATTACGAGACTACCACTCTTAACCACTATACCACACTAAGAGGTAGTGACTGGCCCAAGGTCATTCCCTAACCTCTAACCAAGACACCACATGAGCTCTATGGGGCATTTAGCTTTATTATTGTTTTTTCTTGTCTAAAATATTCAAGGCATCGTACTTCTTTTCATTAAGTGGAGATACCATTTTCACTCATATTGGAAACATGTAACAGGTATATTGGATAAAATTAAAAAATTGGTAAGATTACCTCAGTGTATATAGTACTCTGCCATCATTCCAGATCCGGAGCATCCTATTGGGAGTTGTTATCCAATGAGCATCAGCCTTTTTTGAGTTTCGGAAGAATGTGTCAGGGATCCAGATCTTCCCCACCATGTTGCTGTTCAACCTCAGCACTTTAATGGTGCTGTTGAATCTTAGCCGTCTGTCGTACCAGGTTTGAGCAAAAAAAATGTCTATTGTATATTCCTGCAATGTTGAAACACATCAAACAAAATAAGTTTCCACGTCCGTTCAGTCCTGCTTTTCAAAGCTTTCATGGCCAGTTCACAGAGAACACACACATCACATCAGTAGCCTGACCCACAATAGAACAGAGCTTCTGCTTTTAATGTGATGTTTCTGCATCGGATGCTATTGCCCCATTGACACAATTCCGATATATGCCCACTCAGATGTAAAACCCACTGAGCTCATTATGACTCCCAGGTAAGTGTTCATTAAAACTGCAGTCCTAATGAACTGTTGCTTTAGCTATTTCCCCACCATTTCCCCAAATCTATGTTTTCATACAGTAAAACATAAACCTCAATTTTGGGTTGTTGTAAATGAAAATAATTTATTATTAATTAATTAAATTTGTACACCATTCTTTATCCATAGATCTCAGAGTTGTTCACAGCATCAAGTTACAATATAAAAATTTATGTTAGTTGCTGGTGTGGTGTTTCCATAATTCTTATTTGGCCCACTCAAACTTAAATAGAGAGAAATATTGTGTATAATATCTACTAAAAAGAATATTGCTGAAGGAAGATTTCAGTATGAAATGCAGAATTAAGAATTTAGTATGAACAGCTCTTACGTATTTATTTAGCAACCATAATTCTTTGGACACAAATATTCATGTTAGCTACAGAAATTAGTTGATCTTGGATGGAATTAAAGAACCACAGCTCTACTAACAGCACAATCCTGAACAAGTTTACTCAGAACTAGGTAAGGTCCCCTGACTCCGAAAGGGATTATTCCCATGTAAATGTGCATAGGATTGCAGCCTTATGGAAAGCCTATGTGCAACAATTCAGAAGTCCAATTGAATCATGTGACCGAGTTCTATATACATGTGTATAGTCTTCATCATCCAAGTATTGTGCCCTTGCTCTGTCTGATACATGGGGTAGAATACAGGGGTGTTGATTGGTGTGTACAGCAATGTGTATTGGCATTCAGAAATAACATAATTTGCAATACAAACATGGCAAAATGCAGGGCATTATTTAAGCCAGAACTCACCGGAACTCATGTGAGTTCCAGCACCTCTCATGTGGGTGCCATTGCCATTATAAGAGAACAAGGGTGGCATTCATGGTGAGTTCCAGCACCTCTTTTTCTAGAAAAATAACACTGGCAAAATGTATTAATATATGCTACTTACCATATTGATGGCATTCACTGGGCCAATGCTATTGATATACATATCAGTATGAATTACCGTTGGCTGCACTGTAACAAAAACAGTAACAACTGCTAATATCACATCAGGTAAAACATCCAGAACATAAAGAAAAATCTTAGATACAAAATACAGTATTTAAAGAAAGAATCTGATTGTGTTCTAGAAAGAAAGAACGTAAAAGGACTTGGGTATGTGAGATTTTCCATATCAATAAATGCAGGATGAATAAAACTGCATTCTAACTTGATGACCGTAGTGAAGAAGGGGGTGGATTTTGACCCCATTTATACTATTGTGTTATTAATGTGATTGTAATCAGTATTTTTGCAAGGGGTGGGGATAGTTATAACGCTTATTTCCTTTTTTAATAGGAAACTGTATTGTATTTCTGAAGTCTCTTAATGATACATCACATCAGACATTTCACATTGTACGAATGAACACAAAATGACTAATTTAGCCAGAAGAGGGTTCTGCAAATATAGAAAAAGTCCAAGAAACAAAACAGCAGCAGCAGCAACAGTAACCATCAACATCATGAAAAAGAAATCAACATCAACTATAACAATAATAATGCTTGGAGGATTGCAATGCATAAATCAGACTGTGATCAGCATAGCTGCTTTCAAATTATATTTTCTCTCCTCCTTATAAGCCATCATAATGCAGTCATAGATAAAAAACCCCATGGAAGAAGTCCTCATTATCTTTCATTTTTATGCCTATCAATTTTGCTGCCTCAGCCCTTGTCCATCCTGGCCCAGCCCCACTCTGAGTTTCCCAGTTCCTCCAAATCTGAATATCATTGGATGGGTTGGTGGTTGCAGCCCCAGGCCACTCATTGACCACTTTATGACTTCTTTTGATGCCTGTTATTTGGACTGGGTTAAAATAGCACCTAGCTATCCGTTATCATGCTCTTGCTGGCATTTCCAGTGATGATTTCTTTGGAACAACATGGCTTGTTATGACCACACTAGCTCTCCAGGACTTGTATCTGACATGATTGTATTAGTTTACTGACAATACCTGAAAGCTTGTCTACTAAAGTACAAATAATTTCATTAATGCACATTGATTAAGGATCAAAAAAATTACCTTTGCCATATTCTCTTCTATCCATGCCACTATATATTACTGTAGCTTAATACCTTTGTGATCATGCTGTTAAATGACTTAAAATATTTACTGACCATGTTAATCTTTTACACACAACGACAGCATGACCCTATGCCTTGAACCACTTAATTAATCTTAATTGAAATTGTTCAATGAATGTTATAGTAGAGTGGTGCAATACAAATTCTGAAACAGTCTTTGCCATTGACTTCAGGCACCACTTCGCTCATATATTCCTGAACATTTCATCAAATTAATTTTAACAGCAATATTTTTTTAATGAGATGTCATTACTATTCTTTAAATAACTACAAGCTTTGACATTTGTGTGTGTGTGTGTAATACCAGTTAGAGGTCTAAACACTTGTTTCAGAAAGCTTTGGTTACAGATTCTTTAATGGAAACACTAATTGTCAGCAGCTAAGTATATTATATTTCCTTTATTGTCATTTCCACTTTGTTAAGTGATCATCATCACTTCCCCTTCCAACTCACTGCTATTAACAAATGAAGGAAAATACCCTCACCTCCTATATCTGGCCTTAGTTTGTTATCATATCCCTCCAGCAGGCCATTTAAAATAAGGGTAACATCACTTTCATGAACTTTGGGAGTCAAAACCCAGGTTTTGTTGGTTGTATAATCTTCATAATCGTCATCACTCTTTTGGCTAGAACTGTTTGAAAAAGAAAGGGAAGAAAGCACTGGAGTCATATAACAGCTGAACACAGCAATTACATTCATAGACAGCTCCATTAGAAACCATCAAGACTAGATTTAGGCCCCTTTTAAATAACGACAGTTCTGCACAAAACACTGAAATGGCTTTACAGAAAGAAATGAAAGAGGGAACACCATTTACAGACTGATGTTTACAGCTCAATTTACTGAGAATTCCAAGATAGCTGAGTAGACATTTTCTCTCTTCTAACTTAATGCATCTTTCAAAGGTATCCATTACTTCTATTGGTTCAGATTTAAAGGAAAAAAAGTTTTTAAAGGCAGTGTATCACCTAAACATTAGTGTGCATGAACAGAAAGATGTATGGCACAGTCTTTGTCTTAGAATTATCTTACTATAAGTTATATTTACACCCAAATCATGTTACCCTTAGCTTGTTGTACTATTCTACATTAAGCCTGCTGGGAAGTTCAGTATTAAATATGATTATTTGCCCAAAGTGGAACATAGGAAGCAGCCGTGCACCAAGTCAGACCATTGGTCCAGCTCAGGGGTCAGCAAACTTTTTCAGCAGGGGGCCGGTCCACTGTCCCTCAGACCTTGCGGGAGGGCTGGACTATATTTTGGGGGGGCGGGGAAATGAATGAATTCCTATGCCCCACAAATAACCCAGAGATGCATTTTAAATAAAAGCACACATTCTACTCATGTAAAAACATCAGGCAGGCCCTACAAATAACCCAGAGATGCATGTTAAATAAAAGGACACATTCTACTTATGTAAAAACACACTGGTTCCCGGACCATCCATGGGCTGGATTTAGAAGGTGATTGGGCCAGATCCGGCCCCCAGGCCTTAGTTTGCCTATCCATGGTCCAGCTATTCCTTCACTGGTAGCAGCTCTCTGGGGCTTGATCACGAGTCTTTTCCAGCCCTGCCTAGATATACTAGGGATTGAACCCGACACCTTTTAAGTGTAACATGTATGCTTCACCACTGAGCTATGGCCCTTCCCTAGCCTCCTTTATAATGCTCATTCATCTTCACAATGGCCAATAATATTACCATTTGACAGATGGAGAACCGAAAGAAATATAGTAATTTGCCTGTGACTGGAAGACTAATTCCTCTACATTTCTTAATATATTACTTTACCAATGACTTCTCACTATCTCTACTTGCAGTTAGGGTTACTACTTCCAAATCACAAAAACAGAGTGCAAAAAGAGGACACATTTGTGTGAAATATATGCAGATCCCCACTTGAAAATCAGAAGGCAAGTCACCAAATATGGGCTTTACTGTATCTGGAAGCAATTGGCCTGTAGTAATGCTATCTTTAAAAAAACAACAACCCTAAATCATTACAAAATGTACATTTCTGGGTGGTGTATGAAAAACTAAAAAGGGTGTCCTTTCTTTTTCAGGATTCTGTATTGATGCAGCCAGAAGCGTACAGAATGTAGGGCAAAGTGCTGCTATAAATCTGCTTTTGCTGGCGCAGCGGAAACAGCATTTGTACAGCCACCGTTTAAGAAGCGCCATAGGCTTGGCAATGGGAAACTCCATTAAGCTACGCCTGATTTGCGGATGAAGCTCACTCTTCAGATAAAGTTATTACGATTTTTTATTTTATTTTTTAATGCATGGGTCTTCGCTTATAGCCCTTTGGGTGCCGTATGAAGGTTTGCGCATGATGATAGTGCTGGAAACCTGCTTCCCAGCCCTATAAAATTGGTATCTTCAGATGTTAGGCTGGCTACTAGATAGAGGAAGTCCTCTGTCTGAAGAAGTATACTGAACAGCTGCCCACTTGCCAAGCCTGGTTTGAATATAAAGAACTCTAAGGAGGAAGAGCACAGAGCAGAGGTCTTGAAACTGCCAATCAACAGTTAGTACCTGAATAAATAGCAGGCTGCTCACCTGGACACAGTCTCCCCTACTATGGTGAAATGGATTTTATTTCTATTTACATTAAACAAGTTATGTCTACAACTGAATCTAGATACATATCCAAATTTTCTTCAAAATCGTCCCTCTTTGGGGATGGTGGATTTCCACTTTTTTGGTGATAGATAAGAGGGCCACCCTGCCAGAAGTGGGGCAAGGAATTAAGGCCAAATTCATAAGATAATTGAAGAGTGTGGAAGCTGCTTCCTTGGAGTTTGGCTTTATCTGTGCCATTCCAATAACGTCCGTAAGCAGCAACTGACATGAATGACAAGACAAATCTGATCAGAACAAAGTGACCAGCAACATATGAAGTTTCTGTTGACTTCCAATATTCTCTCTTCCATATTTATTTGTGGGGTGGAGTTGAAACCCAAATCAGTCTGGGTCAGCAAATGAATGGAAGAGAGGCAGAGATGCTGCTGATCTCTTTCCCCAGGTGTCGTTTTCCAAAATCACCCTCTCCCTTGCTGCTTTTTCTCACATCATAGAATCATGGAAGGGAACCCAAGGGTTATCTACTCCACCCCCTGCAATCTTTTGCCCAACATGTGGCTCAAACCTATGACCCTGAGATTAAGAGTCTCATGCTCTACTGACTGAGCTGTTGTATGAGTCAACATCACCTACTTATACCTCGGGTTACAGACGCTTCAGGTTACAGATTCCGCTAACCCAGAAATAGTACCTCGGGTTAAGAAGTTTGCTTCAGGATGAGAACAGAAATTGCGCGGCGGCGGCGGGAGGCGCCATTAGCTAAAGTGGTATCTCAGGTTAAGAACAGTTTCAGGTTAAGAACGGACCTCCAGAATGAATTAAGTTCTTAACCCAAGGTACCACTGTACACAGCTTTCTCCTCAGAAGCCTGTGCCCAAAGTGGCTCACAAGGTATCAGATGAACAAGAAGCATCACCATTCAAAACACATTAAAAACAATTATGTATAAACCATTCAGTCAAAACAATCAATCTATGCAGCATGGTATAAAAAATACCAAATAAGCTAAGCTAATTTAACAGCTGAAATGAAACTCTGTTGCATAAAACAATATTAATAAGCAAACATAGCTAAAATAACTGTAACTAAGTGGAAGAAGTAGGGAAGTGGCAGAAAGATACGGTGACCCTGTATCTTTTCTCCCACAGGTGAAAATGCAGCTTGGGGATGAGGGTGATTTTGAGCTGGAATAAGTTATTAGAGAGGAACATTTTTAAGCAACATCTTCCCTTCTGCCCTTCTTCCATTTAGAAATAGGCTGTCCCAAACTGCTTTGTGGAAAGGGGAAAAAACATGCAAGGAAAACATACTGGGACTCTAAATAGCATGTAGTTGATGCCTAAAGCAAAGCCACCATCAGTCATTTTCACGAGGAGTCCAAAGGAATCTCTGTGCAGAGAGATATAAAAAGAGGGGGATGTCCAATGATGTCACATTACTAGCGCAGAAGCCATTCCAATAACAGAAGCCTTATGTTGAATCTTGTGCCCTGCTTAAATCTAGTGGGTCACTTACACCAGTAGAATATAGTGCACAACAGCTAGTGCAACCATCACCACTATTTCTATATTGAGTGACAGTTATACTAATACTTCAGTGTACACTACCACTTCAAAAACTGCAAATCAAATGCCACACTAATATTGTGTTGGATATTCCTCAGAGTGCCTCTGTACGACCCTCCATTTTGCACAATAACAAATCCCGAGAATCTCGCACTAAAACTGTGTATCTTTAAAAATTGGTTAGCAAGCAACATATGTTGAGCTCCGTCTCTGAGATATCCCTTGGTTGCCACTTTGTCATTAACTGCCATGTTTCCCCAGCACCATTGCTTAGGCCCTTTGCAGCCAAAGCACAGCTTGTAATGAGCCCTCCTTGTTTTATTGACTCTCAAAAATGAGGATTTTTAATTGCCATTGCGTTACACAGCATTCCTCTATGTACAGAAAAACAGGGCATGGACAATTAAACTGGTGATGTAAGCAGGTTTATGAAGCTGCCTGCAATTCTAACAAACTAATTGCATTTCAGGGAGACAAATCTCACACAGTCTCTGAAGCTCGAGCCCACATATCATTTGAACGTGGTTTGGCAGAATGCTATATTTGCACTCCAGAGAAAATGTACAGGAAATCACTTCAGTTTGTCAGCCTCCTTACATTTTCCCAGAAATTATTTATTAGCCTTCTTTCTGCTAAAACTGCCCAAGGCAATGTAGGGTCTCAAACCAAGGTTACCACAGAAATAAAACATTAATAGAAAGTATACACAGGTGTCTCCAACAATGTACACTAGTGCTTGTACCCATCGGCCCCTGGAGTGGATTTTTTCCCTATGCAATTTGCAATCAAATCTGGAAATAACACCCTGCTCTCATGCTTATGAATTAAAAGCCCTATTCAGGTTTTATACCTGCACCACAAGAAGGGACCATGCATACCAGCCCTGTTCCCCACATTGCAATCCACATGGAGGGTGATGAGAATGGTGACAGGGGAGAGCATTAGCTTGTCCCTTTCACAGGCTTACTTAACACTGAATGTGAATGCTTGAAGGGTGCCTATGTCTCAATATAATGCTGTCTTTGATGGCTGTGGCTGGTGAGAGGTGTCATCCAAAACATCTAGAAGATACCAGGTTGGCAAGGGCCAAATGTGTAACTGGAAATGTGTAAACCTTGCTTGGAATGCTCTTCTGCTGTGGTCATGCTAGCTCTGTCAATTGTCCCTACAGCCTGTGTGCATACAAATGAACTGAATATTCTGGCTTGTATAACCTACAAGCACCAAAGGCAGGCATCTCCAAACTCAGCCCTCCAAGGTGTTTTGGGACTACAGCTCCCATCATCCCTAGCTAACAGGACCAGTGGTCAGAGATGATGGGAGTTGTAGACCCAAAACATCTGGAGGGCCAAGTCTGGGGATGCCTGACCAAAGGTATAGCACAGATGCTTCTCACATCCAAAGCAAGCATTGTAACAGCACTTTAACAAATGGTGAAAGTATTTAAAGTTCCCGTCTCCTAATGGGAGATTCCCTTCTGGTATTCTGGGAAGCCCAAATTCACACATAAACTAATCCAGGTGGGGGGTGGCCTGGGAAGAGTGATTGAAGATTGCAAGTTCACTGTCATCCATGTGCAGGGCAATAAATTACAGAAGGAAGAAGCTATGCATTCCTTTGGGTATGTCAACGCAAAAGCTAGCAATTATATTTTATAAACCGATGTGTAAATAAGAGATGAGCAATAGTCCAGTATTTAGAGAATGTATTATACTTCCATGTGCAAGTGCAGGGCATTATCTGGGCAAAAGTCTCATTTATGCCAATAAGAGTTATGTGACTACAGCCCACACATATCCTTAAGACTCTTTAAGCTCATATTATTAGTAACAGGGTGTTCTGCCTTCATAATGTTTTTTCCAAGTTATGAAACAAATCTAACGAAACCCACAGTCAAAATTATAGTGGGCAGACTATGGATCTTATGAGAATGCCAGACAACCTCAGATAGACAAGGAATGGAAAGCATAAGAGCTTTAAACTATGCAAGTACAATTGCCCACTGTTTCATTGATTACTATATCAGTTGGCCCATAGTCACATTTTTTCCTCCAGTTATACATGTTTAAACCCATTGATTTCAATGAGGGAAACTATGCATTGAACACTGGATGCATTAGTGAAGCCTAACATTCTTCTCTGCTTAGCAGCACAGAGATTTGTGTGCAGATCATCCTGTCCTCACTGGACCTGAAGGAAGGGAGACTTTTCTAACCTAAAGCCCTAGGCAATTCCTACTTAGAATATTATCAGCACCAGTCATCCTCATCCTCATCACCACATCATCATCAAAAGCAACAACATCACCAGTCCAATAAGCACCTCCTTTACTAAAGCTTCATGCTTTAGCAAAAGCCTCAATGCAACAATGCCTAATCTTTTTTTAGAAGGAAGCTGGCATCCGTCTGTCTCGAGAGACAATGGAAGGCGTGTCTTTTTTAAGAAGGCATGCAGCGCCACATGAATGTTAACATATGGCTTATAGTAAATTGTATGTATCTGTTTAATCTAGAGCTGACACCATTAAAGTTGCAGCTACAACTTGTACTCTTTGCTTAAGAGAACAGAATGTGCATGGGTGGAGCCCTTCTCCTCCTCCACTTGCAAGGTTCAGCTGACACTAAAAAGGGAATGAATGGCACGTTAAGTGGCTTTGTGCCATCTGAGTGAGAAATGTGCTTTACTAGGCAAGAGCTGACATGGGTGCTATTACATTACCATAACATAATACAGTGATACCTCGGGTTACAAACACTTTGGATTAAAGATTCCGCTAACCCAGAAGTAGTACCTCGGGTTAAGAACTTTACTTCAGGATGAGAACAGAAATCACATGGCAGCGGTGCAGCAGCAGGAGGAGGCCCCATTACCTAAAGTGGTACCTCAGGTTAAGAACGGTTTCAGGTTAAGAACAGACCTCCGGAACGAATTAAGTTCGTAACCAGAGGTACAACTGTGCAGTAGTTGCTTGACTTTCAGCTAGTATTAGCAATGTATATAACTGACCAGGAAAAATGCCAATTAAGGTGGAATCATGTCTGGACATTTGGGAAGGATAAGTTCAACATCCATTTTCTTTGCAGTGATGCAGACTTGGGTTCTTAGAAATGTTTGCAATGCTCTTTATCCTGACTGATAAAGAATTATATTAATAGTTTGTTAAATCTTGACGAAAGGTACAATTCTTTTTTTAAAAAATGGAGCCTGTTCACACATAAAGCTTACTGATCGGCTTGCTTTTATTTTGCTGGACTGCGTCAAACAGAATTTCAATTTGTTTACTCAAGGCACAGCAAGAGACCTAATCCAATTTTTATTTGAACTTTTCCTCTAAAGGCCCCTATCAGCTACATGTTCCCTTCACCTCTGCTGCCTCTGCATATTATTTCGCTACCGCCTGTGCAATTTTGTGTCTCCTCTTCTTTGCTATGCAGAGTTTGTGTACTTCCAGCTTCTTCTAGTTCTGATCCTGCATTAAATAAGAGTTTAGCTCCACAAATGGAGGAATTGTCACACAGTTTAATCAGATATTTTCCCCTCCTTTTTGTTTCTTCTCAATATTTATTTAATTGAAGCAAATAACAGTTCCATGCTTCATTAGTTCTCAGAAAAAGGTTAGAAAAATATAGTCAATCTATTCCAATCCTTCCCAGTTCTAAATGCAGGACAGCCTCATATCTCATTAGATATGAAAGGTTGGCAGAACTATAAAATGCAGGAGAAATATCAATTATTTGATATAAGCTACTGAAACATCAGCAGTAGCCCTGGGAGACCAAGGCCACAATCCAACAAATTAGTAGGTCTGGTTGATAAAATTCTTCTCTTTTCTATGATTTTTTATACTCCTCACCGGGGTGGTGGGAGCTTTTAAAACCTTAAAAATGTTGTTATGGGTACTTTACCCCAAACTACATTCCAATGTTAGAAGAAGGGAATTTTTAAAAAATTATTATTTTGCTTCCCTGGGTCAGATTTTGTTGAGGGGGGGGGTAAAGTCTAGTAACATGAGTGAGACAAAAAACAAACAAAAAATTCTGTTGGTAGAACAAAATCTATAGATTTCTTGGGGTATTTTTTTGCCCCAGTCCTTGGCACTGAAACCTACAGCGCTACATGCATCCCATCATGTTACCATGCAAACAGCCTATGTACAACAGTCAGTTGATTTTCTTGAGACATATTTAGAGTTTTTGTGTACAGAAATAAACCTGTAAATTGTAAGTAACTGAAACTTGGGGGCATTTTTAACCATGGTGACGTGGCAATGGCCTAGAAGGACTATGTTACCTCTATGTAAATTCAGCAGTGAAAAGTGTACTGGGGTTGTAATTTAAGTCTTGAAGGTCTGGGTTAGTGTTCAGAATAGGAAATAGTGATCCTGCACCACAGCCACCATCTGGCGTGGGGAAGTTGGGAAAAACCAGGGGCTGCTGGTTCCTTTTCATCAGTAAATGAGGGCTCATGCAAGATGCCTTTGCAAACCTTCGTTCAAGGTCCAGAAAGGGCACGTGCTTTTTAGTTCTGCTGGTACCCAGGGAATTATCTGTTGAAGCTTGGCAGATGAAGTGTCTTCCACCACAACACTTCCAGGGAAGGGAGCAAGAATGTCTCGGCATGTCCACAGCAGATCCTGCTTTGAGTGGTGTGACAAGACTGGACCCACCATTATGCAGAGTGAGGAACCCAGCTCAGGAAACCACTTTAGGGTGTCACCAAGAGCAAAAAACTGTTAGATGTATCATTGTTATGTTTTTACTCTCAGGGACAGGTGCTTGTGGGATTTTCTGCCTCAGGTGCCAAAATAACTTGGCCAGCTTTGACTAAGAGTGGGGAGTACCATTTGTTGTTCCACTTTGGGCAGAAAAATAGAGTGGATGTGTCCGGTCCAAGGTCCAGTTTAAAGATATAGAACCATAAGAAAAAGCATGAGGAGACTTGAAGTTGCCCAACAACAGTTTGCAGCACTTGGCCAACACAGGTCACCTGGTAACTATGGTGAGATGCATTTTTACTTAATTCTGCATCTATACATATAAATTAGTCATTTATTTTTTGGTGATGCACCTCTTTTCTGGTTATGTATAAGTAGCCACCCTACAGAAGAATGTATTGATGCCTCAAAGCACTGCATAAGTCACTGGTGAGGAAAAAGTAAGGGAAAAATGTATGCATTCTGAGAGGTAAGAGCAATTAATCTGTTGCTCTATTGATTATTAGAGGACAACTACAGAAGCTATCAGAGCAAATTTGTATGCCATACTTAGCAGGGAGTAAGTATTAAGTACATACTGCAAGTACTAGACTGTGATTTATGTTTAGTACAATATGGTGGAAAAACATACATTCAGTTTACAAACTCCAATATAAGCTAGAGGGAGTTTCGTTATGTAGCAAAATAAAATTGCAAGAAGATGCTTGAACCAACAATGAAAACAACCGCTGACACACACCAGTTAATCTAGATATTGTATTTTTGCAACATACATTCATGCAAGAGAGATGCAATGGTAGCATGCAATCTAAAATTCAGGCTATGAACATTGGATTTAAAATAAAAAGCAGTGCATAAATCTCCATGCAGGATACTAAAAGGTGACCTTAGAGCCAGTCTAAGATAACAACAGCAGCAACAACAAACTTTATTACGGTCGCAGGCCAGCATAAGATACAAACATGCGAATAAAAGAGGAGACGGATAAAAGCAAATAGTTAAAAGTGGTTATAGCTCACATAAACCTAATGCAGATAGAAACAAAAGACAAGTGGTTAAAAGAGACTACAGTCGTACCTTGGTTCTCAAATGCCTTGTGACTCGAATGTTTTGGCTCGCGAACGCCGTGAACCCAGAAGTAAGTGCTCTGGTTTATGAACTTTTTTTGGAAGCCAAACATCTGACGTGGCTTCCGATTGAGTGCAGGAAGCTCCTGCAGCCAACCGGAAACCACTCCTCAGTTTTCAAACATTTCTGGAAATCGAACGGACTTCCAGAACGGATTCTGTTCGAGAACCAAGGCAAGACTGTATAAGGGAGGGAGGGTGAAACAGCACAGGTCTTGCATTATAGGCCTTCAGTTTAGGCCTGGTTTGTGACACAAACCATCCTTCTCCGTGTAAGATCAAGTAGCTAGCATTTCTGTACTTCTTTTAGTGTGCTAAGTACCTTACAGTCCTTATCTCATGTGTCCTCATTGCTCCACCAGACTCCTCCCTCAACTGTAATCTGTCAGCAAACATTCCCTCAGCCTACTGAAGAGAACTGAATTCCAAGTCCTCTCCATCAAGGCCAGCAACTGTTGGCTGCTCCTCCCCTTGAATTGTTTCCATTCCAGCTGCTCATTACAAGCACACTTTAACAAAGAAACAGCGCTTGAGCTTTTGTTTTAACTCCTCCCTTCCAATTTCATTTCCCTTCATACCATATGTTTTAGCTCATAAGCCCGAGGGCAGGACTTGTCGTATTCAAGGGAACAGCATGTGGGGGAACTGCCGGGGTTATGGCCCCAGGCACATTTTTCTGTGGGGCTCTGCTCACACCACCCTCCAAGCCCTGTGAGGCTGGGATCTGATCAGAAGGATTTGTTGGGCTGGAACTATTCCTAACATTGCAAAGGAGCTCGGGGCTGGCAGGACGCCTTGAGAAGGATGCAACAGCCATGCGCCCTTCGATCCCAGCTGAGGAAAAAGGAAAAGAAAAATATGCCTTCTAAGAGGAAAGAGCAATCATTAGGGGACAACTAGAGAAACCATGAAGAAATATGTGAGGGGGGATGTGTGGCTCCTTAGGCTAGCCCAGCCAGTGCTGCAAGTAGAACCAGCAGCCTCAGCATCCATGCATTGGGAGATTTGGAGTGGGTCAGAAGAAGCGTTTGGATTTGATATCCCGCTTTATCCCCTAAGGAGTCTCAAAGTGGCTCACAAAGCCACTTCCGGCCTGCCCAGGAGGTGGGGTTGCGGGCTTCACGCCCACCACCCACGTGAGCGGGGGCTGGTTTCAGCCCCCGCGAGAGCAGGGGGTCTGCCCTATATAGGGAAATGATATTTGGCTTGATGGCGTGCATTTTTCAGATGCGGGAAATGACATGTGGCTGACTGATATAGCAAAGGGTGCAAGGGACTGGTTTCAGGCATGAGAGTATTGGCGGCGAGCGATTGCTCGTGTGGCGGTAGGCATTGGTAAGAAGGGGTTAAGAGGATGTGTGTGTGGGGAGGAACGCCATCACCTCCCCCCAGTGAGCGAAGGGTGGTCCGTTAAAGGACTCCGGGGGGCGTGGCCCTGTCCGAAGCCTATGGAGGTGTGGGCCAAAGGCACGCCCCGAGCGGTGACCCGGGGGAGCTCCTAGTCGACGTGCCTCGGCAGGAGACTCCCCCGATATAGTGTTAACCCTTCCCCGTGTCTCCAGCAAATGGGCTGGAGCCGGATAGTCGTTAGGACCAATGCCTAAGCCAATGCCTCTCATTCCTGAATTCAATAAAGTTGTGGCCTAATTCGCCCATTTAACCTTAAACTATGGTGTCTCATGTCTTTATTTATCCTGGTGGGGGGCGGGAACTCGCCACGCAATCTCCTTTCCTTTCCTCCCCCACAACAGACACCCTGTGAGGTGGGTGGGGCTGAGAGGCTTCAGAGAAGTGTGACTAGCCCAAGGTCACCCAGCAGCTGCATGTGGAGGAGCGGGGACGCTAACCTGGTTCACCAGATTACGAGTCTACCTCTCCTAACCACTACACCACACTGGCTCTCAATGTGTACTGATGTAAGCATGTACAGTTCTTCCATGCTAAAGGGGCAAATTAGAACATTCTATGAGGAGTCTTACACAGGAATGCTACTATGCACATAAAAGTCTTCTAGACACATGGATAGTGAGGGTATGGCTGCCAAGCATTTGGCAGTGAGGGCAGGGTTAGCCCCAGGCATAGGCAAACTTGGCCCTCCAGCTGTTTTGGGACTACAACTCCCATCATCTCTGACCACTGGTCCTGTTAGCTAGGGATTATGGGAACTGTAGTCCCAAAACATCTGGAGGGCCAAGTTTGCCTATGCCTATGCCTATGCACCCATGTAATCTACACACACACACACACCACAGATACATATTCTTTTACAATGTGGATTAAGTCACCTAAACCCCCTTATTGCCACCAGGCAAAGCATATAATGGCTTTCTCTTCAAGCAGCAGAAATGTGTTTCCTATTTTACATCTGAATTATGCACACTCCCATTCCAGGAGCTACTACTAATGCTCCCAGCTTTTGTCCACGCTCCGTTTCTGTATTAGAAAATGTGCGGAGGTGACTGCATGCAAAATTATTTAATGACTTCCAAGAAAAGAAATGGAGAATTGCGTTTATCATATTTTCATTAACTGTGCAGCCATTCTAATGTCTTTTACATTTTGAAGTGGGAACTTGCATCTAGTACTAAAAAGAGAGAGAAAACTCTTAATTCCAAATGTCTAAGAAAGTGAATGAGTTTCAATAATATTAATATCAACTGAAAAGAAACCAATGACAAAAATAATAATCAATACTGGCCATGCATTCATGAGGATGATTTTTTTTAAAAATAGTTTTTATCACAGATTTTCTTTGGTTTGTCTCTTTTTTCAGGTCATAGTCTCTTTGCTACAGATCAGTTACATTCAATGTGAGACATTAATATTGTATACAGTATATGGTTGGGAGAGAAGAGAGGGGGGTCATAAAACTTACATTATTTTACTTAGCATATGTGGGGGGTTTTGGTGTCAGCATCACTTGAGTAGGTTCTCTTTTTATTCATTTATTATATGATTTATTATATGATTTTTAAATATATATAATTTCATTTTTCCTTTCTTTAAAAACAAACATTTGTTCCACCGAACAATTTCTTTTTTAAAAAAGCAGTATTGTGTTTTTGAATGCTATGAATTTTTTTGCAACATTTCTTATAATCTGCTTCCCAAGGGTAATCAGTCTGAATAAACAGGATTCAATTCAGAGAAACCCTAAAAGCATTTGTTTCTCTCTACTTTTCCCAAAATGTCCTCATCCTGCACCTGGAGGGTACTTTTGAAAGTTCCTTCTGGGAAACTTGCTGATTGTTGGGAGAACAAGCTGCTTTTGAAACGGGAGCACTTAGAAGCTTCGCTGTACATTTGAAGTATGTCTCCATCTGGATCGATACATCAGAGAAGGAAAAAACTTCATTTGAACCAAAATATGCTTACTTTATAGATCTAACTCTTCGCTTCTCCCTCTCAGCAATGGCTGAAAACCAAAGTTTTCCCCCAGATGAATGTGCATATGGTGTGGGTGATTTGGTGCTGGTGGGGGTGTGTTATGCGAGAGAACTATCTATAGCAAAGATGAAAGAAGGAATGAGTAAATATGATCAAACATTGTGATATTGTATGATGGTGAGGGCAAAGAGTGAAAACTAAATGCAGAAAGAAGGTGAAATATCAAAAGAATGAAGTGAAAATGGGAAAAGGGGGGCTAGGAAAAGGGGAACAATAATAGTGCGGTGTCCCCTGTTTTTTTACCAGGATCCTACAGGAAATTGCTCTTTTCTGGAAGCAAGCAAATGCAAATTTTTATCATCCATGGTTTATTAGCATTTTCACAGTACAACAATAGAACAGTACAATCCCTTATTCCCCCTCCCTCCAACCTCATGCGCTCTCTCTCTCTCTCTCTCTCTCTCTCTCTCTCTAGCTACAGTATTGTCATCTCTGTTGTTCAGTTTTTTTAGGATGCTACACAATGTTCAGGTTTGCATGCCCAATAAGGTTGAGGATAAATGAGTGCCACTGTTCTGCACTAGTCTTAGATCAGGCATAGGCAAACTCGGCCCTCCAGATGTTTTGGGACTACAACTCCCATCATCCCTGACCACTGGTCCTGTTAGCTAGGGATGATGGGAGTTGTAGTCCCAAAACATCTGGAGTTTGCCTATGCCTGTCTTGGATTAACATCCATTAAGTTGGGGAAGTTTCCATTTCTGCATTGTGGCTCCCACTGCTTCCAGTTGTGGGTACTACTTGGTGAAGGATTCCTAAAATGCCCTCCAAATCTTTTGGAAGACTGACTTTTCATGTACTTTGTAGAATAGAATGTTATCATTGGCTACTAGTTGCAAGAGGTCTTGTATCCAGTGTTCTGTACATGCCGTGGTTCAGGCTTTCCAGGGTTGAAGGATTATTCATTTAGCTGCTAGTGTGGTTAAGTGGAGCCATCCTTCCTGTCCTTTTGATAACCTCCACTTGGCAGGCATGTAGCCAATTATTGTGTTGACCCATCCACCCATAGCTTAGCTACCAACTCCTGAAAAAAGACTGGTTGCTTCCACACTAGCAATTGAGCCTGCAATTGCCATCCATTCTTCACTCACTTTTTAGTTAGAAATCAGATGATGTCATTGTCAACTAGTTGCAGTTCAGTTTTTTCTGTTGCCCTGTGTTTCATAGCCCTGATTTTGGAAGGGTGTGTGAATGTTTAAAATGCACATGCAGTGGTACCCTGCCCAAAGAAAACTGGAAACATTGAATGGAGGCTTTTCAGGTCTACAATGACTTTAAATCGAAGCTTCCTCCTTTGGAAGGAATATCTTCCTCTGCTCCTAACTGCTTCTTGTTCTGTGTAGGCCAGCATTACTGATTACGCGGGTGGCACTGTGGTCTAAACCACTGAGCCTCTTGGGTTTGCCGATCAGAAGGTTGGCGGTTCGAATCCCCTGATGGGGTGAACTCCTGTTGCTCTGTCCCAGCTTCTGCCAACCTAGTAGTTCGAAAGCACGCCAGTGCAGGTAGATAAACAGGTACCACTGCGGCAGAAAGGTGATGAGTGCCGCACCCCATAGTCACATTTGAGGAGACTTAACCATCCAGGGATCCTTTACCTTTACCTTTTACTAATGAATTACTGATAATTAGGGGGCAATTAAGGAGCAAGTTCCTGTTCTTCATCAGGATGGGAGCTTTCAATTACAGGTACTGGTTTCCTTTCATTAATAGTGAATAGCTCTAAAATACTTTACTAGTTTAGCCTATTTTCTCTTCACTACAGCCTCCTTATCCTATATACTTTTGGTTGAGAATTCAAAAGTCTTTTGCAGGATAGATTGAATGAAAATTCTGTACCAATAAAATATATATCAGTAGCACGAAGCTACAAATTTAGATATATAATAAGAATCTGCTGTACTGATTGGCCATTAGGTTAA